CTTCTCTCTCTCTCTCGTCTTCCTTCTTCTTCCTTTCCTTTCCTTTCCTTTCCTTTCCATGTTCTCTCCTGCCTTCCCCTCTTCCCCCCTGGCAGTGCAGGCCACTCCTGGGCTCTCTCCACACCCACCCGCTAAGCTGTCAGAGATCTGCATTTCCGTCTCCATTATTCCCAGAAGGCAGGTCAGCGCCTCCAGCTGAAATCAATAAAGAATTAGAGCTGCTCGTGATACATTACCCGTCCTTAGGTCAGGCGAGGCCCCACTGAAATGGCTGAGGACAGCAGGGCTGGGGGAAAGATTGCCCTTCATGGGCAATTTCCAGGAGAGTCGGGCTTTGTCAGGCTTGCAGAGATGGCAACCCAGATCTCTGCTGAGCTTCGGTTGGTTACTGACCTGCTCCCAGAGCTCCGCTTCATATGGATCCATTCCCTTCTCCTGTAAACTGGATCTGGGTTCCACAGACACAGATAATGATTGCAGTGGGTTGGCTCCTTTAACAGGGGTTCAGAGCCCCTCCTGTGGGTCTCAATATTGTCCCTGTGATATCTGGAGTGCATGGGGAGAATGGAGCCCCATACTGTAACCCTGCTGCGAGGGAACCCAGCTGCAGCCAGCCCTGGGACACTGAGGAAGGGCTATCATCCCATCTCATCTGCCCAGGACAGCCATCTAGTAAAGTGGCTGTGTGCGTGCTACCACTGCCCTCTATTGGATGGAAGGGGAACTTCTAGCTCTGCATCACATGCCCCACAGTGAATGAAGATTCTCCTCTAGTTCGGATGATGCTACCCTGGAAAGTACATGCAGGAGGGTCCCCTCTTTTGGGGTTTTATATTCAGCTGGTGGAAATTGTCCATCTCCTTGTAAGCCAAGTCCACTCTGCAGCTGCAGAAGAGGTGGCAGGAGCATTGCCAACTCCCCTAGTCTGCCCAGCCTGACCTGGAGGGACCTAAGGCTGGAGGGAAGGCCAGTCTCCACTGCACATTCAGTGCAAGGCCCCTCTGCTGCCAAAAATAGGAGCAAATCAGGGCCAGGCATGATGGGTTTGTGCCCCCTGGAAGCAGCTGTGAGACTCCAGAGTAGCTGTCACATGACTCTGACTTTCACTCATGGCTGAGTTGGGTTTGAACCAGTGACCTAGAGTTGAGGGGCTCAGTGTCCCCGTGCCAGCCTCATGCAATAGCTTTGTTTCAACCAGTGGGATTTGTGTGGTCGTGAGGTGGGAACTAGCTGGCATCAGGGTGGAGAGTGGAATCTCCAGCCACCCCATCATCCTCATTTCAGGGAGCTCTGTTTCTCTTGCAGCCCCACACCATGGTTTCTGCTGTGGCCTATCCTGCATCCATGGAAACTGGTGGAGCCCTGGGGGAAGTATTGGAACCAGACTTTTTCCCCACTCCACTGTAGCTACCCCCTAGCACCTTGGGCTGTGATCTCATTAGACGACTTCATGGAAGGGAAAGCCCACCCAGGGATGCAGGAAGTGGTGGTGGTGGCTCCGACTGCCTGAGTCAGTACCAGATCAGTGCTGCAGAGGGGATTGTGCTACTGGAGAGTCTTTTGGGTGAAATCTAAAAGGGAGGCCCTGACCCTTGGGAGGCAGTAATGATCCCGTGGCACTTTGCACAAGAGTAGAGGGATTGGGGGATTTTAACTCTGGTAATTGCATTCCTTCTGCCTTACTCCCTGTGCAGTTCCTCTTGGTTACCTGGCTCTTCCTCATGTCCTGCCCTAAATAGTTGTCCAGTGTCACAGTGCTCTGTTAAACAGCTGCTGAGCACCTCCCCAGAGCTGATCGCACCGTGGAGCCAGGTGGGGAAGTGACTCTTGTAAATAGTTTGCACCTCAGCTAGTGACATTTGTAAAGGGCTTTGGGATCCTCCCAGCTGCAAGGAGCTATGTAAGTGTAAGACCATTATCACTAACGGGGCTGGGTCTTTAAAGCACCATGCACACCCATGGCACTGTATGAACAGTAACGACAAAGACTGTTCTCAGTGTTGGAGGTTACCTGGGTTCATTTGATTCTGTTTCCTTTTTCACAATGTCCTGCTGCACGGCTGGTCTCCAAGGGTGGTGCTGCGCCCTGGGCTGTGACACTGGGCATTTTCAAACGCAGCATGACTGGAAATCTCTGTGCACCAGCAAGGCTGCCTCCAAGCTATAGTGCTTTTATATGCTGCCGACTGCACTGAGAGCTGTTTGCAAAGGCCTTGGGCGATTAGCACAACAGCCGAAATTACTCCTCCGTGGCTGTTGTTGGAATGAGATTGGGATTAGAAATCAGGGCTCATTGGGTAGTGCTCAACAGCTCGATGTCTAGTTGGCAGCCCATGTCAAGTGAAGTACCCCAGGGATTGGTCCTGGAGCCGGTTTTGTTCAATATCTTTATTAATGATCTGGACGATGGGATAGATTGCACCCTCAGCAAGTTCACGGATGACACTAAGCTGGGAGGAGAAGTAGATAAACTGGAGCGTAGGGATAGGGTCCAGAGTGACCTAGATAAATTGGAGGATTGGGCCAAAAGAAATCTGATGAGGTTCAACAAGGACAAGTGCAGAGTCCTGCACTTAGGACGGAAGAATCCCATGCACTGCTACAGGCTGGGGACTGGCTGGCTAAGCAGCAGTTCTGCAGAAAAGAACCTGGGGATTACAGTGGATGAGAAGCTGGATATGAGTCAGCAGTGTGCCCTTGTTGCCAAGAAGGCTAATGGCATATTGGGCTGCATTAGTAGGAGCATTGCCAGCAGATTGAAGGAAGTGATTATTCCCCTCTACTCGGCACTGGTGAGGCCACAGCTGGAGTATTGCATCCAGTTTTGGGCCCCCTACTACAGATGGGATGTTGACAAACTGGAGAGAGTCCAGCGGAGGGCAACGAAAATGATTAGGGGGCTGGGGCACATGGCTTACGAGGAGAGGCTGAGGGGACTGGGCTTATTTAGTCTGCAGAAGAGAAGAGTGAGGGGGGATTTGATAGCAGCCTTCAACTATCTGAAGGGTGGTTCCAAAGAGGATGGAGCTCAGCTGTTCTCAGTGGTGGCAGATGACAGAACAAGGAGTAACGGTCTCAAGTTGCAGTGGGGGAGGTTTAGGTTGGATATTAGGAAAAACTATTTCACTAGGAGGGTGGTGAAACACTGGAATGGGTTACCTAGGGAGGTGGTGGAATCTCCTTCCTTAGAGGTTTTTAAGGTCAGGCTTGACAAAGCCCTGGCTGGGATGATTTAGTTGGGGATTGGTCCTGCTTTGAGCAGGGGGTTGGACTAGATGACCTCCTGAAGTCTCTTCCAACCCTAATCTTCTATGATTTTACCGGTGTAAAGTTCAGTCACCTGTCTCTAGTATGTGGAGTGTGTCGATTGTAGGTGGGGTGTGTGTGTTGTCTTATCCAGTGTGTATATATGGCATGCATAAGGTGTGGCACATGTGCTGTGAGGTGTGAGCTCCTGGGGTGTGGTTGGGGCCGATGGGGTGCATGTGGAGTGTGTCCAGGGGGTGAGTGTGTGTGGGCTCTGGGGGTGGGTGCTATGTTTTCTGGGTGGTGTGTGTGTGTGCTGGCTGTGCCAAGAGTTACCATGCTGTGCTGGGGCTGGGGGTGTGGGTGTGGGAGATAGGTGGAGCGTGTGTAACTGAGTTTGTCATGCGGGCAGATGGAGAGGAAAAGCCCGAGCATGGAAACCTCCCATTCAAATTGGATCCTTAGCGAGTGAACGAGTGATGCCCCAGAGCACCTGTTTGCCCTTCCCCTCCCCTTCCCAGGAGAGGGGTCTAGTCCTGCCCAGGGTGATCCTCTCTCCCCCACTCTGTAACCCCCTTTCCTCTCTTGTCCGCAGGCTCCCTGACTGTCTCCATCACAGACATGAGGGCCCCTCTGGTCGGAGGCTCGGGGGGTGTCTATGCCCTCTGCTCCGCTCACCTGGCCAACGTTGTCATGGTAGGTATCCTGGTTCTGTAGCCAGGCCACCCCTGGGGAAGGACAGACTGGGAGGTGGCTGATCTGCTTCTCCTCCCCGGAACTGGAGATCTGGTTCATTCCTGATCCCCTGTCCAGCACCAGCTGGGGGCACTACATTGGCATGGGGGGCAATGCCGAGTGGGAGCGGTCTGATAGGTACATGGAGAAGCCTTTGCCTCTGTCATTATCAAGCTCTGGTAGGCTCAGTGTGGGGTAGGCCTCCCCCAGGCTGTCCTATCTCTGTGCTTACGCCCATTGGTGGGCCCAGCACAGGCCCCCTGCTTTCCAGGTCCTGGAAACCGGTTCTGACCACCATGTCTTGTTCCATGGGATGCGGCTGTAGGCAGGCAGCAGGGCCGGCTCCAGGGTTTTGGCCACCCCAAGCAGCCAAAACAAACACACACAAAAAAGCCGCAATCGCGATCTAAAAAAAGCTGCGATCGCGATCTGCGGCGGCAATTCGGCGGGAGGTTCTTCACTCCCAGGCGGAGTGAGGGACCGTCCGCCGAATTGCCGCCGAATACCTGGACCTGCCGCCCCTCTCCGGAGCGGCCGCCCCAAGCACCTGCTTGAGAAGCTGGTGCCTGGAGCCGGCCCTGGCAGGCAGTGGGCTCCCTATGCACACAGAGCGCCACTCGCTCCTGCTGCCATTTCGAATGGTGAGCAACAGGCCGGCCAGCTGCCCTCAGGTCCATCCCCACTTTGAAACGGTCCAAAGAGGATACCAGGCCACAGCTCTCGTGCCGCCGTAACTTGGGGTCTCTGTCCGCAGAACTGGGCGGGGATGCGTTGCCCATACAAGCTGCTCCGGATGGTCCTGGCTCTGGTGTGCAGTAAGTACGTGTCGGATGCAGTCAGGCAGCAGACAGCAGGGCCTGTGGGAGCCTAGCTGGGTGAGGCTGCTGGCGGCACTGTGGTGTCTTGAGATTTTAAGGGCAGAAGGGACCGATCTGATCACCTAGTCCAGTCGCCGGTATCATGCAAGCCAGAGAACCTCACCCAATAGGGTTGCCAACTTTCTAACCCCACAAAACTGAACAATTTGCCCCGCCCCTTATCAAAGGCCCCAACCCCACTCACTCCATTCCCCCTCCCGCCATTGCTTGCTCTCCCCCACCTTCACTCACTTTCACTGGGCTGGGGTAGGGGCTTGGGGTGTAGGAAGGGGTGAGGGTTCTGGCTGGGGGTGTGGGCTCCAGGGTGAGGCCAGAAATGAGGGGTTCAAGGTGCAAGAGGGGGCTCTGGGTTGAGGCAGGGAGTTGGGGTGCCAGCTCTGGCTAGGGGTGCAGGCTATGGGGTGGGGCCAGGGGTTTGGGGTGCAGGAGAGGGCTCAGGGCTGGAGCAAGGGCTTGGGTTGCAGGAGGGGGTGTGGGATGCAGGCTCCAGGAGGGGGCTCAAGGCTGGGTCAGGGGTATGGGCTCTTGGATGGTGTTAGGGTGTGGGAGGGAGTGCAGGGCCGGGGTAGGTGGTTGGGGTGCAGGAGGGGGATTGGGGCACAGGCTCCAGCTGATCAGTGCTTACCGCCGGCAGCTCCCAGTCGATGGCACAGTGGGGCTAAAGCAGGCTCCCTGCCTGCCCTGTCTCTGCGCAGCTCCTGGAAGTGGCGGCATGTCCCTGTGGCCCCTAGGTGGAGGGGCCAGGGGGCTCTGCACGCTGCTCACGCCCACAAACGCTGCCCCCACAGCTCCCATTGCCTGCGGTTCCCAGGAGCCACACGGAGCTAGGGACATGCTGGCCAGGGCCGGCTTTCGGCCGATTCAGCTGATTCGGCTGAATCAGGCCCCCCGCCTAAGAAGGCCCCACAGCTGTCCACCCCGCCCCCGCCCCCAGCTCACTTCCCCATCCTCCCCTCTCCTGAACGCTCCACCCCCCTGCTCCTCCCCCTCTCCTGATTCCCGCGAATCAGATGTTTGTGGGAAGTCTGAAAAGAAGCAGGGGCAGGCGGGCAGCAGCAGCAGGTAAGCTGGGGCGGGGGGGCGCGAGGAGGGCTCCGGGGAGGCGCGGCACAGCCTAGTCCGGCCCCGGCCGAGCACCTCCAGCCCCGGCCCCAGCGGCTCTGGCTCCAGCCCGGCTTGGGCCCGGGGCACCGGCTGCAGCTCCGGCCCGGCACCGGCCAAGCACCCCCGGCCTGGGCCCGAGCGGCTCTGGCTCTGGCCCGGCTCGGGCCCTGGGGCACCGGCCTGGCCCTGGCCGAGCGGCTCTGGCTCCAACTCGGCTCAGGCCCCGGGGCGCCAGCCCCGTTTCTGGCTGAGTGCGCCAGCCCAGCCCTGGCACCGGCCGAGCACCCCCGGCCCCGGCCCGAGCGGTTCCGGCCCCAGCCTGGCTTGAGCCCTGGGGCACCAGCCCCGGTTCCGGCCGAGCGCCCGGCCCGGCCCCGCGGCTCCGGCCCAACCCTGGCACCAGCCAAGCACCCCCAACCCCAGCCCGAGCGGCTCCGGCCCCGGCCGAGTGGCTCTGGCTCGGGCCCGGCTAGGGCCCCGGAGCACCAGCCCGGCTCCGGCCCGGCTCGGGCCCCGGGGCACTGGCCCCAGTTCTGGCCGAGCACCCCCGTCCCGTCCCCGCGGCTCTGGCCCAGGCGCCAGCCAAACACCCGCAGCCCCGGCACCTCTGGCTCGGGCCCTGGGGGCGCCGTCCCCGTCCCCGTCCCCGGCTGAGCGCGCCGGGCCGGCCTCGGCCCCAGCCGAGCGACTCCAGCCCGGCCCCGGCTGAGCGGTGCCGGCCGAGCACTCCCGGCCCCGGCCCCAGCGGCTCTGGCCTGGACCCAAACCCGGAGACCCCAGCCCGAGCGCAGCCCGATTCCTGGGGGAGGGGCTTGACACTGGCAAGCCCCACCCCCAGGAATCAGGCCCCACTCTTGCTAAGGCCGGCCCTGATGCTGGCTGCATCCTGGAGCTCCGTGGAGCCAGGGCAGGCAGGGAACCTGCCTTAGCCCCACTGCGTCGCCGACCAGACTTTTAGCGGCCCAGTCAGTGGTGCTGACCGGAGCCACCAGGATCCCTTTTCAACCGGGCGTTGTGGTCAAAACCGGACGCCTGGCAACCCTACCACCCAGGGATTCCTGCCCTGGGGGGAATTATCTTCCTTACTCTATAAGCGACTACTCCCAAGCGCAGTATGTTGTGATTGAGCTAGTTCTCACCCTCTTCCGTGCCAGGACCCCAAGTTACCCTCTTCCCATGTGCCAAAAGGAGGGCAGGTGGTTGTTACCCCCATAGACCTCTGTGACCCCCACTAAGGGGTGGGGTGAGTTAGAGCATTTCTTTTAGAGAGGCATCCGGGCTCAGTGTAGGGACTCGCAGGGATGGAGAGCCCACCACTTCCCAGGGCTTGTCACCCCCACCGATACTCAAATGCTGATGGTAAGGAATTGCACTGCCTTCCACCAGGAACCCCCGGCCTGTGTCTGGGAGAAGGGAGGCCTGGCACAGTGGGCAGGATTGCTGGGGATCAGCAGGGTCTGACGGGATAGACTTGCAGGGGAGGTGACTGGGGTGTGAGAAGGGGAGACTCTCTAGGGCAGTGGTGGCTCTTAGCCAATAGCCTCCTCAGCAGAGTTGTGGGGAACATTCTCACTCTTCGTCCTCCCTCTTGCAGTGAGCTCTGAGGTGGGCCGTGCCGTTTGGCTCCGTTTCTCTCCACCTCTGGCAGCTTCTGGCCCCCAGCCCAGCTTCATGGCCCATCTGGCAGGCGCCATCGTAGGCATCAGCATGGGGCTGACCATCCTGCGCAGCTATGAGGAGAACCTGCAGGACCAGTGTGTCTGGTGGGTGGTGCTGCTCTCCTACGCCACCTTCCTCGTCTTCGCTGTCTTCTGGAACATATTCGCTTATGACCTGTTGGGGACACAGATCCCTCCTCCGCCGTAGCATCCCCCCCACCCCCCCCGGCCCTCAACACCCACCCTGAAAGTGCCAAAACCCAGATGATGCGGGTGCCAACCTCCCGGCTGGAGCCCTGCCACACACTTTTTCTATCAGTGTGTTATTTCAGCCGGATGCTGGACTGGATCTTCCTCGGCCCCTGCTTGAGGCTGGGAGGCAACAGACGCGTGACACAGAATCAAGGAAAACTGCCCGCCCGCAGATCCCAAAACAGCCCCCCTTCCGAGCGCGGCCGGAAAGCAATTCCGCCCTGGTGTGTTGGAGTGAATGAGTGTGCTCCCCGGGCAAGGGTGGGCGGGAGTGAACCGGCAGACCTGCCCCCCTGTGCCAGGCTGGGTATGCCAATGCTCCCTCGTGACTGTACAGTTTTCCTGCTCCTACCTCTCCCTCGCCCCTCTCTAGTTCTCTTGGGGGCGGGGGCAGCCCAGCTACTCTGCTGTGGGCAGCACCAGCACAGCAGGGACCCCAGTAAAATACTCTTCCCGTGTAAAGATGATTATCTCGCTCGCTCTTGTGCCCTCTGTTCCCCCTTTCCTGCTTCTCCCCATCCCTGCACCCCATTCTCCATGCAGTCCCTTACGGCAGAGTCCTGGGGGGGGGCAGCATGGTAAGGGGGAAAAGCTCCCTGCATGAAATCTTTGCTCCTTGCTTCCAGGCCCAGGAGAGAGTAGCGAGGGGACTCCATTTGCCCATGGGCTGCAGAGATAGGGCAGACAGCAGCAGCCGCAATGCCCCCTGGCTCTGCAGAGGACAGGGCCAATGCAGCTGGGTTCAGGGACTGATGGCAGCTCAGTGTAGCCGCAGGTCAGGAGGGAGCCCATCTTTCCTTTATCCCTAGAAACAGCCATGTCAAGCTCTGGTCTCTGTGCCAAGGGCCGTTACAGTGCTCCCTGGCTTATTTAGCCCTTTAAGAGCTCACTTGGCACACAGTTCAGGGTTAGTCTGAGCACCCACCCAGTGTGCAGGGGCCAGGGCCTCTCGGCCCCCACTCCCAACACAAATCACTCTTTGACATGATGGACTCTGGTGACAACAAGATTTTTTCTGCACCAAATCAGAGCTGAAACCAGCCAGACTCATTTCAGCTATGACCCCGAGTTTGGCCCTCCAGGTCCCAAAGCCTGCACACCCCAGGGCTTTCGATAGCTGGTATGAAACACCTCCCAGAGTCGCTCCACGGCAGCTGGCATTGCTGGGGGCTTTCCCGAGCAATGGGTTGGTGCCTCGTGCTGAGAGGGGCAGGGATGGCCGAGGGAAAGAGGCAGGACCCGCATTTGAAGTCTGACCCTTTTTGGAGTATAAATAAATATTTTGCACACCACATGGCTCTGCTCTCTGTCTGAGTTTCTGCTGCAGTGTTGCATCCATTCCCTGGTTCCTCCTAGAGAGGACTAGATTTCCCCCTGTCTTGGGCAAAGAACCAGAAGCCAGGCTTGCTTATTCGTTGCTAAATGGGACACAATCCTCATCTGCTGCGGCCCAAATGGAAATTGCTCGTCCACATACAGCCACTTGCAGCCACTTGTGACATCCGGGCTTGTGGCTGATGATGAGGGAGGACTGGTAAAGGACTGGGTATTTGAAGTGGGGCTGCCTTCCACCATTGGGCGCTGCTGTAGTTTGTCTCACATGCCAAGATTCTGGGAGTGTGGCTATAAGGGGAGTTATTCCTGATTCACTCCCTGTGTGGACGCTCTTATTCTGGATTAAGTGTTCTGTTCCAACGAAATCCATTTTGGATGTGGATTAAGCTAATCTGCAAGAAAGCACTCTGATTCTGGAATAAGAGCATCACCACAGGGAGTAAATCAAGAATAGTTCATCTGCTTTCCAGTCACACCCTACTTCATTCTGGTTTAACAGTCACGTGTAGACAAGCCCTAAGGCGTTCCAGATGATTTGCACCAGCCGAGTGTAGGGCCAGCTCCTCAACTGCAGTAAATTACCATAGCTGTGACTTTAGTAGAATGATGGTTGTTCACAGTAGCTGGGGAGCTGGGCCTTTAACTCGGCAGTACCACACCCCATTCCAAAGTGCGTCAGGCTTGCTTCCCATCCCAGCCCAGTCTCTGCTGGCTGCCCCTGTTGTGTCTGCCCATTAACTTCCACTAGAGCTGCAAGCACCGAGCCCCTCTGAAAATCCAGCCCCAGAACCGTGGGTCGATGGTGTGGCCTCTTTACACTTATGGGCCATTGGTGACTATTCTGGTTTCTAACTGGAGGAAGCTGCTGATTAAACGGGTAGGAGTAGAGAGGTGGGAGGCCGGAGTGGCTGTCTTGGGGGCGGGAGCTGGTGATGAGATGGATGGCACCACCCCAAGATGCCAGCTCAAATCCAGCCCAGCATTGGAGCCGCTACCATCTCATGGCTGGTTGTGAGGCTGTGTGGAATGCAAGGGGGCCCTCAGCAGGCAGCTGTCTGCATCACAGCGAGCCCTTTGATTGGCAGTCCTAGTAGCGAGGTCAAGCACTAAGCTGTAGAGACTGAATTCCTGCAGGGGAGCCACAGTGGGGGTATGGAGCTACCTGCTCTGTGGTGAACCGGGGACTGCAGCCCTCAGCTCTCACCAGCACTATGGTCAAAGCAGTATCTAATGCCCCGAGTCCATCCAGCTCTCCTAAGGTGCTGTAGGGCAATATGCTGTCGGGCAGCTGCTTGGCTCTCTGACGGATCGCCATACCACAATCTTGTGAGTGTTTGTGACTGTGACTTTAGCACCAGGGAAAGGGGCCCAATGGCCAGGCCTAGAGACACTGAGGTCATCTTCATGCCCAGAGCAGGTACAGTTTGGGTAGCACCAGTGCACGCTTCCCCACACTGCCCCTCTGGGGTTCCCCACTGAGCAAAAGGGCTCTTTCTCTGCGGGGAGAAGACAAAGTGCAGAGATTCCTGATGCCTGTATGTCATTTGTTTGGGAGGTTGTCTGCTGAAGGCACCATGGCCCAGCTTCTCAAAGGGATTTAGGTACCTAACGCACATCGAAATCCACGGGATGTGCCTTTGAGGCTCTGGGCCAATGAGACTATGAAGTCAACCATCTGGGCTCCATCCCTGGCTGTGCTGCTGACTCCCTGGGGGATCTCGGGCAAGTGCTTTAGCTGTTCTGTGCCTTGGTTTCCCCATCTGTAGCATGAGGATGAGGTCTTCTGACCTGCTTCCGTGGGTGCTTCAAGGGTTAATTCAGTAACACCTGTAAAGGATTTGAGTGCCTTAGGCTACATCTACGCTGCACACTAGGAGTGTGATGCCATTGCTCGCAGACACATATTTGCGCTAGCACTCAGCACTGAGTATAAATAGCACTGTAGCACCAGTAGCACCCATAGCAAGCAGAGGAGATACGACTTAGCTAGTGGGTATGTTCTCGGCATGGCTAAGCTGTGCCTTCTCTGCTGCTACCTCGGCCACACTACTGCGTATGCTCATGTTAGCGCAATGTGCGCTAATGCCAGTGTGTGTTCACAAGCAGGGAAAAATCACACACCCCTATGTACATGTAGCCTTGGCGGGGAGGGCAAAATATTACCATGCATTATGAATTTTACATCACATCAGAACCCCTCTCCCACCACTCATGCACTTTGGCATTCATCAGTAGCTCCTCATCCACTGCCGCCATTGGGCCAAAAGTGGCACAGTTTACCTGGGTGTGACAGAGATGGCAATTTCTGCACTCTGTTTGGGAGAGCTTCTCATATTCAGGTCATGTGTCATTGTGGGTCAGGGACTGGATGACAGTCCATGGGGGAGGGGGAACCACAGCTCCTTCAAGAACTAAGAACAGTGGAGGGTGAGTGGGCAAATTCACTCAGGTCCTAAGACGCCAGAGCAGTGCCACCTGCTGGGCAGGCTGGCGTATATTGATTCAAACTGGATTATCCAGAAACCAACAGACAAAGAAAGGCCTTTTGGATTAATCGACTGAGTTTGAACTGATTTGGGGGGTGGGGAGACCTTCTTTCTGATTCAGCAAATGGACAGAACTTTCTGTCTGGGGGAGGGGGGATGGAGGGCAATCAATGTAGAAGGGTTGGAAGAACTAGACCTACTGGGGCCCCATAAGACTGATGGGTGGTCCTTGGTAAGCTTTTAGCCTGCTTGAGGGAACTTTTATTGTTTTTATGTTTTCTCAGCAATGCTTTCATCTTAGGAATAAATGTGCTTTCTTAGAAAGAGCTGGGTGGTAACTTATAACTGTGAGCAGTTATGTTGCTTATAGCCTTTGAAGAGTGAGAGCAAAGTGTAGACACTGGCCTGTCTAGACAGTCTGACTTGCTGGGGATATCACAGTGTAGGCTGGGAACCGTGCAGCCTGGAAAACCCCCAGCCAGGAGGGAATAAGACGCATGTCTCTGCCCAAGACAGATGGCAGCTGAGGTCCAAGGAACCTAAAATGGGTGCACTTGGTGGTCCATGAGGAGGAAATACAGGTACAATTGTCCTGAACTGTGATATATAGCGTGGTCAAAGTGAGTTATGGACAGCTGAAGAAAGGTCAGCTGGTTGAGCTATGCAGAGAAAGGCAGCTCTGCACTAAGGAGCGAAGAAAGACAAAGCTAGTTGACTTGCTGTAGTCTCATGACCAGAAGAGGAATGATAGTCCAGGTTCACAGGGAACATCTAGCCCACTGGTAGAGAGTCCAGCAGGCAGGGACAGTCTTGGAGCCGACTCCGTGGCGTGAGGCAGGGAGGAGGCTAACAGACTGAATGCATCACTGCAAGTGGGATCATGGTCAGGTGCACAGGTGGACCAAGGGATGATACAACTGGAGTGGGACTGACTGCTTATGGAAACCCAGCTGCTTGCGGACAAGGAACACTAGCACCAGCATGAGGAACGAGAGAAGGACAAGGAGCATCAGTAGCAGCTCAAGATGGAGAGACTGCACCAGCAGGACCAGCTTCAACAACATCACCTTGAGATGGAGAAACTGTGCCAGCAAAACCATAGTCTGGTATGTGGAGCCAGTCCCAGTGTGCCCAGTGTACCTGTCCCAGTGAGTGGCCTAGACTCCATATGACTTTAGGGAGGGGGTGACCTGGTTGTGTTTCTAGATGTTTTTGAAAGGGGGTGTCAGTTGAACAAGGTGGGGCTGGAGGACATGGTATGGTATCTGGCTCCAACTTGTCAGGGACAAAGGCTTTGGACATTTCCACCCTTATGGGCAGAGAGGACAATACTATGAGCCATGCAAACAAGCTTTGTTGCACAAGTTTAACTGACCCCTTAAGCGTATAGGAGAAGGTTTTGGGGGTGGTGTCAGAAAAAGGGGATATGACCTCTGCTGAGGCTTCAACTCGAGTTAGGGATTATGTAAGAAAAAGGGGAACTGCCGGGTGTGACGGGTTTGGTCACAGAGACCCCCTTGGGACTGTCACCTGATGTGCTGAGACTACCTCTGAGCCCATTTTCTCTGCCAGTTTGGGCCTCCAGAATCCTGTCTTGTTGAGCCAGATACGCTAATCTGCTGCAACACAGACCCGGGGTCTGACCCACACCCCCAAAGCTGCAGACTTAACTGAAAACAGCTTAGCAAGTGCTCCTGTCTCTAGCACCCAGACACCTAGCTCCCAATGGGATCCAAACCCCAAATAAATCCGTTTTACTCTGTATAAAACTTATACAGGGTAAACTCATAAATTGTCCGCCCGCTATAATACTGAGATATGCACAGCTGTTTGCCCTCCTCCCCCAGGTATTAATTACTTACTCTGGGTTAATTAATAAGCAAAAGTGATGTTATTAAATATAAAAAGTAGGATTTAAGTGGTTCCAAGTAATAACAGCCAGAACAAAGTAAGTTACCAAGCAAAATAAAACAAAACACACAAGTCTAAGCCTAATACAGTAGGAGACTGAATACAGGTAAATCTCACCCTCAGAGATGTTCCAATAAGCTTCCTTCACAGACTAACAGGAGTACTTGTGGCACTGTTCTTCTTTTTGCGGATACAGACTAACACAGCTGCTACTCTGAAACCTTTCACAGACTAGACTCTTTCCTAGTCTCGGCCCAATCCTTTTCAGACCAACATTGTAGTTTATGGCCTGGGTCCAGCAATCACTCACATCCCTGTAGTTACTGTCCTTTGTTTCAGTTTCTTTCAGGCATCTCTTTGGGGTGGAAAGGCCATCTCTTGAGCCAGTTGAAGACAAAATGGAGAAGCTTCCAGGGCCTTTTATATTCTCTCTCTTGTGGGCAGAAACACCTTTGTTCTTTTGTGCAAAATCACAGCAACAAGATGGAGTTTGTAGCCACCTGGGCAAGTCACATGTCCATGAAGATTCAGCTTTTTGCAGGCCGACACCATTGTTTA